GATGAACATGACTTTCTGGGGAGGAACCAACATAGCTTTGTCAGAAGGAAATCATGCCTTACCAACCTACTAGAGCTCTGTGAATCTGACAATAAACAGCTAGATCAGGGCAATCTTGTTGACATGGTATATTTGGACTTCCAAAAAAGCTTTTGACAAGGTCCCCCATCAGAGGCTCTTAATGAAGTTATGTAGTCTTGGGATTACAGGGAAACATCCACTTGTGGACTAGAAATTGGCAACTAAACGGCAAATGTAATTCAATGCAGGTACGTGTAAAGTGATGCACATGGTAAAAAATAACCCAAACTATACCTACACCATGATGGGCTCTACATTAGCTGTTACCACACAGGAAAGAGATCTGGGAGTCATTGTGGTACAGTTCTCTAAAAACATCAGCTCAGTGCTAAGCAGCCATCAAAAAGGCAAACAAAATGTTAGGGATTATTAAGAAGGGAACTGTACACAGAACAGAAAGTATCATCATGATCTCTTCATAAATCCATGGTGCATCCACACCTTGAATACTGTGTCCAGTTCTGGTCCTCACATCTCAAAAAAGGTAAAGAACTAGAAAAGGTCCAGAGAAGGGTAACAAAGATGATTAGTGGTATGGAGGGGCTACCATATGAGGAGAGACTAGATCTATTCAGTTTAGAAAGACATTCAGTTTAGAAAGAGGCTAGACCTATTCAGTTTAGAAAAGAGAGGTTTGAAGGGGGACACAATAAGGATTTACAAATATTAAATGGTGAAGAGAAAGTAAATGGGGATTTATTGTTCAGCCTCTCACACAATACTAAATACTACTATGACTAGGGATCATAAAGTGAAACTAGTAGGTAGTAAGTTTAAAACTAACAAAAGGAAGTTCTTTTCCACACAGTGTGTAATTAAAGCGTGAAACACACTGCCACCAGATGGAAACAGACAGTTTAGCCAGTTCAGAAAGGGACTGGATAAATTCTTAGAGGAAAGGGGCATCAGTAGCTATTGAGCATGGGAGTTAGGGGTACAGTTTCTGAACCAGAACTTCCTATACTTTAACTGCTGGAGGCTGCAAGTGAGAGGAACAGTGGGGAAAAAATACCCTGGTCATACCCAATTCAGTCTCCTTTTCAGCATCCACTCTCTGCCACTGTGCGACACAGGATACTGGGCAAGATACATCTATTGTCTGGCCCAGTAAATGACAATTCTTTGTGTTCTTATATTTTCATATCAAATGGACAATGCACAATTGTTGAGAGTCGCATTAAGAGTGCTAGTTTGTTAATACTGTGTTGTTTGTTAATATAGTGTTAACAACAAACTAACCAGGAAATCAAAATGAGCAGTTTAATTCCTATAATCAACTAGTAACTAATCAACTTGCACAAAGGTAGCATTTATCATCAGACTACCATTTTGATCCTTTCTGTTCCATTCATGAAACAAGATTGTTTGACTCTGTATCCAAGTTACTGCATAGGTACAATTAACATGATCATCTATGAACAACGTCTCAGCCATGATTGTCATCTCAATCAAATACATTAAAAGAAAAGGGAAGGGAATAGAATAGAATCCAAAGAGGAATTACATTGGGAAAGAG